TTTCAATTTTAATTCATTTGAAGTTATTTTCATGTCTATGCTAGTACTAGAATCTTCTAAAATAAAGTTGAAATATTCTTGAATGTTTTTATGAATGTCTTTAAAAATAATGGATGTTTTTCATAATTTAAAATGCTTTCCTATCCTTTTAGTATTAATATATATATATAATATGTATAATACAACTCATGGTCTCATTGAAATGACTGAACTAATTAGAAAAGCACTTGATGATAAATGTTTTGCATGTGGTGTATTTGTCGATTTACATAAAGCGCTTGACACAGTGGATCATTCAATTTTGTTGAAAAAATTAGAATATTATGGGATCAGAGGCGTACCGCTTAAATGGTTCACTACATATTTAAACAATAGAACACAATTTGTTTCTATTAATGACTCAAAATCTACCCTTGTAAAATGTTTTAATGATGTTCCTCAGGTTTCAGTATTAGGACCACTGCTTTTTCTTCTTTATATTAATGATCTTCATAGATCCATTAAGTTTGCTACTGTTTACCACTTTGTTGATGATACTAATCTAATACTAATTAATAAATCTCTTAAAAAAATTAACAAACACATTAACCATGATCTTGCAAATCTAGTTCAGTGGCTTCGCTTTAACAAACTTTTTCTAAACTCTAATAAAACTGAATTCATTATCTTTAAATCAAATAAAACAAAAACCTTTAGATTAAGTGGCAAAAAAATTGAACCTGTTAACTCAATTAAATATCTTGGTATAAAAATCGATTCAAATCTTTCCTTTTTATCCCACTGTAAAGACTTAGCAATGAAACTAAGTAGATCTAATGATATGTTCGCCAAAATTCGCCATTATGTTAATTTTGAGACACTCTTGAACATATACCATGGTATTTTTGGCTTACATCTTAGATATGCATGCCAAGTATGGGGGCAGTCCCATCAACAAGCTGTTATTAGGTTATCCCACCTCCAAAACAAGGCTTTAAAAATTATTCATTTTCAGAATACTAAATTTAATCCTAATGTGCTCTACCTAACTTCTAATGTATTAAAACTATGTGACTATATTCAACTTTTAAACTGCCAATTTGTCTGGAACCACCAATACAATAACCTACCTTTAACTTTCATTAATTTCTTTTCCAAAAGTGCCAACAATCGTTATCACCTACGTTCCAATAGTAATTTAAACCTGCCTGTCTCTAAACGCCGCTCTCATAATTACGGGCATAAATCCATAAAATATCAAAGCACTACAACTTTGAACAACCTTCCTTATGAACTAAAAGCTCTCAATTCATTCTCAACCTTTAAAACCAGTTTATTCTGCTTTTTATTAAAAAAATATAGTTAATGTTTATAATTTCTATAATCAAATTTTGTTGTCTTAATATATATATACATATATATATATATATATATATATATATATATATATATATATATATATATATATATATATATATTTTTTACAATTTCTATTCTATATTTTTTATTGATTATTGTTATTTTGTTATTTTTACTAATATTTACTATTGATAATTACTTTTAAATTTTATTATTACTAATACTAATATTGTTGTTATTATTGTTATTATTATTATTATTATTGTTACTATTGTTATAACATCGTTATTTATATTGCATCGTTATTTTATGTTATAAAGTTTATTATCGTTATTATATATTGTTAAAATTAACATTATATTTATTTTAATTAGATATTATTAACATTAGTAGGTGTTTACTTTATATTAGTATATTTACTATTTGTAAACATCCTTGAATGTAAAACCTTAATTCAGAAATAAATGATTGATTAATTGATTTACTTAAATAACTAGTTATTTCTCCAATATAGTTACAATTACAGCTAACACAAGTAAATTTATATGAGACATATGACTTTAAGAAAATTGTATGGTTGTATTAATAAAGTAAACAAATTTAATGTTTACTGGATGGACACAGAAAAATCTGTTCAACTTTAAATTATGATTTTTCTATAAACTTTTTATTTCTACCTTTTTTTAAATTAAACCCCATTTCATTATCTTTAATTGTTGTAGATACCAAAATAGATACCAATGTACCAAAAAGATACCATTGTACCAAAATCTACATTTATAGATTTCATAAATAAGCTTACTTCAAGATTACTCAAAGCATCGAAAGAATGCCTGAAGTGGAAGTAAGAAAATATACAAAGATAAAGTTGACTCAGTTTTCAGTTCAGTAGCAAGAAATTTAAAACAGTCACAGAAAGATCTAAATTCAAGAATTCACATGCATACGTCTAAAAAGTATTGAAAAATGAAATTAAAGTATTTCATAAGATAAAGAAATTTGCAAAGAAATTGGTAAAAAAAATGTCAGATAAAAATATAAGACAACAAAACATATTGCAAGACAAATTTTTCACAACATCCTGGTCAACAATTGAGAACAAAGATAAACTTCACAACTTTCTGATCAATAATTGAGAAATAAGATAAACTTCTCAACTTCCTGTTCAACAATTTTACCATGAAAACAAAGGTAAACCTTTCGATGATGAACTTGAAATATTTGACAGGAAAAATTTGCATCGAATTTCCTTGCGTGGCAAAAAATTTTCAGCTGTAATATGATGTTTTTTTGATTCACCATTAAGATGACATTGATTGCTGATCTCTAAACCAAAGAATGCCTTCAAATAAGACTATTTTCATTCATAAAAAAGTCTTTTTTGGCCCAATCTAGCTGCTTCTCACTTTTCTAAGAAGATATGATAATGTGAAAACCGTTCCTAAATATGTGAATCTTTCTAACCATCTAATTATCGTAAACAAATTTAATTTATAAAAAGTTTAAAATAAAAAGTTTTTATGGTTATAGAGAAATCTTAACTTAAAGTTGATCAGACTTCCATGTGTCCACCAAAAACACTTTTTACAATAAAATTTTTTACATAAAAAACTAATTTTATTACCCACCTGGGTGATAATAGCTTCTTTTTTACTTATAAAAATTTTTTTATTAACTCAAATTTGAAAAAAAAAAAAAAATTACATAAAGATTTTTAAAGCTATTAATACTTAAAAGTTAATAATTTAGATTTTATTGATGGAAAATTATATTTATATATATATTTTGTATATATATATATATATATATATATATATAATATATATATATATATATATATATATATATATATTTATATATATATTTTATATATATATATTTTATATATATATATATATTATATATATATATATATATATTTTATATATATATATATATATTTTATATATATATATATATATATATATATATATATATATATATATATATATATATATATATATATATATATATATATATATATATATATATATATATATATATATATACTTTATATATATATTAGGACAAATCACCTTTTTTGGTATCGAATCGAATCCGAATCGAATCAGGTGTTGATTCACAAATATTGTGAAAATTGTTCCTAAATATGTGAATCCTTCTAACCATATAATTATATGTGTATATATATATATATATATATATATTTATATATCGAGAAAAAGTCATTATGTTTTGTCCAAATATATGCAAAGAACAGATAATTAAAAAAAAAAATGAAATTTGAGGAAAAAACAAGTTTTTTGAGTACAAGGAAACAACTATAGGAAAAAAAATTTGCTGATTGCAAAGCTATGCAAGATTGTGTTTTTGTTGATGGAATAAGTGATGATAACTTGCTTGTGCAGCAATGTAGTAGTATTTGTAGAAAAAGATGCCGTCTTACAACAATGAAACAGAGTCTCAAGCAATACAGCTAGAACTCATCCAACTACATTTACGATTCACTTTCGGACATTGTCTAAAAAAAGAAAAAGTACCATTAAAAGAATTTAGGTGATTTAAAAGGTAGAAAATGGAATCAGGAGTAAAAAAATGACAAGTAAAATATACAGAGACAATCTTAGCAGATCAATCATAAAACAATAGTATAAGGTCTGCAATAAATTGTCAACCTTAAACTATTTTTGATTGGCACAAGATCAGCACAAAATTTTTAACACAAAGGTTTTACTATATTAACATAGAAATAAGGTTGACAAAAAATCATGGACCTTAGACACTTTTAGGTCGCCATTACCAAATGCCAGCCTTATTTCTGAAGGCTGATATATACAGGTGCATGTGTATGTGAGTGTGTTTACATTTTTAATATATACTATTTACTATATATGAAACAACTCACCCTTAGTAAACAGCATAATAAGCCTGATTAGTTAAATTTCTTACTGAGTCCTCTACTTTGAATCTTCTAAAATTACCATTTATCACTGACTTCTCATGGAAGCCATAAATACTTAGCATCTGGTAAGATGCTAAGTATTTATTTATTTTTTTCTCTTTATTAGGCTTGCCATTTTCTCATTCCTGATTCCATTCTCTAGCTCTATAGAATGTTAATATTGGTAAATTTTATGGATTACAGTAGTCATATTTGGGCTGGTTCTTCTAATAAGCCCCCCTCTCTTTTAGAGTCCAAGGTCCAAAAATGCATTGTAAATATTCTTTACAAATATTACCATGGTTAATGCTCAAGTGAACTAACATTACTCGCTCTATCACAAAAAACTCAGCTTTATGCAATACTTCATCAGAGTTGCATCTTTTTATTGTCACTGTTCCTTCGTACTAAAAAATTTTATTTAACTAATTTTTATTCTCAAACATCAGTGCTTTAGAATTCTCTTTTGTCTTCATGTTTTCCTGATTCATACTCATTTTTTATGTCAACAATTTTTTTGTTCTTTAAACTCTTTACTTAATTAGTGGTTGCTTGTTGTTGGGAGTAAATTAGTTTAAAAAAATCCGATAAAATATCAAAACAACAAGAAAATGCTGTAAAAAGAAAAAAAAATACCAAAAAAACATCAAACATATTTTTACTTTGCTTTGTCTTTGAATAACTTCTTGACACTTCCAATCCAAAGCATTACACAAAATGAACTTGCAATTTTCAATAAAATTCAATACAAATTCAATATCTGGCATTGAAAAACTAAACATCAAATCACATAAACAAAACTTGATACTATAATTATAAAACTAAATGTTTAATATTTACAAATACATTTAATTTTGATACCTGAAAAAAACTAAAACTATTTAATATAAAAAACAAATTGAAGAATCTAAAATTATTTAAACACATTTACCTCGATGTCCCTAACTTATTAAATAAACAAAAGAAGGCAATTAATTCTTTGTCAGGTTCTTTAAAACAAGGAGCCACCAAAACATTTTTAATTTGAAAATCTAAAAAAAAATTGCTTTTCTTTGGTTTAGTTGATTTTTTGAAATTGGTTTAGTATTACTTATTTTTTTAGGGTACGTGGCTCTGCGTTTAAGTGGTTTGAACAAATTTTTTATATGCCATTTATTTATTCAAGTATGACATAATGAAAAAATTGATTTATTATCTAACTATTTTATATTATTGTAAAAAAAGCATGAGGATATCAGTTTTATTTTGATTTGCTATTTACTTTTAGCATTTTTAGACATTAATAAAAAATAGTAAGAAACTAGGACTTAATACAGGCCACTGAATCTAGGCCTCTTGATGTAACATTTTAAATATGAGATCTTTAAAAATTTTAATCTAATAAATTCATTACACCCTGAAAACAAAATAAAAAAATTCTATATTGACACAACAAACTAATATCACAAATTTCTTCACTTTTATCATCACAAAATGTTGTTACTTTTAATTCATGTATCACAAAAAAAACTGAAAAAAACTATTTCTTATGAAAACATTTTGCTATATTTAAAACCAACAATATTAAATTCAATTTTCAACTAATTACTTACGAGCAATAGTAAATTACTTTCAAGCAGTGGTAACTTACTTACAAGCAGTTGTAAATTAATTATAAGCAGTTGTAAATTACTAACAAGCAATAGTAAATTACATACAAACAGTAATAAATTACTTACAAGCAGTAATGAAGTACTTTCAAGCAGTAGTAAATTACTTACAAGCAGTAGTAAATGATGAAAAAGTACACTTAGATCAAAGTTGTAAAAATAAGTTGATCAACAAACGATTGCAAAATAATATTTTTATCTTGAAAATTTTAATCTCGAAAAAAGGGACTGTTATTTGTGTTTAGCTTGCAAAAAAGGATTTTCTAATTATTTTTTTTAGATATGTATTTGTTAAGCCATTATAAAACTGTTTTTAGATATGCAATTAAATATTACATGATTCTTTTGTACTAGTTAGTTAGGCCATTACATAAAACAGTGTGTCAATTATGTTTTTTGCACTTCACATGCAAATAGTTATTATTTCTAAACCCTGAAGCCTCAAACCAGTCCTATTTGCAAAAATAAAATTAAAAATTAAGCAAAGAAAAAAATTTACAATAAACAATTAAATGAAGATATTGTGAAATGATTTTGAAAGATATTTAAACATAATGATAGCCAAAATTTATTGAATTTCCACTTTTTTAAACAAGATATTTGAAACTAAATGCTTAAAATTTAAAAATTTTTTAAATGTTCAAATATCAATATATCTTTAAATTTGCAATTGTGATGATAAAATAAATATATTATTCCTTAACTATTAAAATTTTATATCTCATAAATAAAACTAATATATAATTAAGCAATTACCTATATTATAAAAAACTTGCAAATTCTTAAACTCAACAGCAATCGGAGAATGCTGAAAAAAAAAAAAACTCAATGTTAAAAAATATCTTTAATTAATTTGCAAACAACATTTGATATTGTAAAAAAAATATTTAAAAATAATTAAATAAAAACTTTTAAAATACTCAATAAGATTTTTATAAACTTTTTTATTATATCAAAATTAGTTTAGGTATCAAAATTTATTTCATAATTTTCAACCTTATTTGCTAAAAAATTTGAAATTTAATTTGTTACCTTAATATTAATTGTTACTATTTTCTATTTACCTAACTTTAAAAACAGAATTTGACTTAAAAATTTTTTTTTTTATGTTAAATATTTTCATGCAACTTTTTTTAAGATATTATATGAAATTTTTATGTGAAAAATTTCATTTAAAATCTTAAAAAACGTTGCATGAAACATAAATTAATAGATCAAAAGAATCGTTATCTCAAATTCAGCAAAATTTTACAAATTTATAAGATATAGTTGAAGCAAGAGAGTTTTGACAAATGAAAAAGCTTACAGGTGTCAAAGCGAAATAAAAGGCTTTAGGATGATTGAACCACTCATTGAAAGCACTCTTTGATAACTAAAATTAATAAAATTATTAGGTTATTTTAAGGTCTTTACTTATCTTTAGTAGCTTTTGATAAAACCTATCTCAGTATTTTTTGATAAAAACATACCTCAGTAGTATATTCTTCATCAACACAATGTTTATTACCAAAGCACTTTTTAAAAAAATTAGAAAATTCAAGCATATTTATAAGTTATTCAACATTGTAAATTAAAAATTATTTAAAACATAAAATAATTAAATACCGCAGAGGAGAGCTCATCATTGTCTTTATTAATGAGAAGAACTACACCAGACTCGGCTACTATTTCCTTTGTTAACTAAAAATGAATTATTTTAAGTTACTTAAACGCAGTATTACTGCACCTTTTCAAGATGTAATTGAGAACTTGAAAGTTGTAATTACGAAAAGTAAGATGTAATTGAGAAGGTGAAAGTTGTAATTAAGAAACCTTACATGTAATTGAAAAAATGAAAGTTGTAAATAAGAAATTGTAAAATCTAATTGAGAAAATGATAGTTGTAATTAAGGAAACATGAGAAGATTAGTGTTGTACTTAAGAAAAGTAAGATGTAATTGAGAAGATAAAAGTTCTAATTAAGAAACATTAAATGTAATTGAAAAAATGAAAGTTGTAAATAAGAAATTGTAAAATCTATTTGAGAAAATGATAGTTGTAATTAAGGAAAGTATAAAGAATACAAAGTTCTTTGTATTTTGAATTTTGCAGTCCTAATATACTTTGTAATTTAAGGCTGAAAATAATAATATATCAATAAAATATAAAAAGTTGTGAAAAAGACATTTGAGGTTTAGGCGGTAACTGAAAAAATCCTATTGGGTGTCAATTAAAACTTTCTTTTATTTTTGTTTGTGAAAAATTTAATTGAGATTTCAAATGAATAATAAATAAAATAAAAATAGTTACATTACTGTATTGCTGGTGCATACAAATGCTAAATTTGATATTATTAACTAATTAAAATGCATGTTCAAAAAGATCTTTTATAATGACCTTTAAGCTTACATTGTGAATTCGCTATTTAAAATAATGCATTCTCATTTACATATTACGATTTCTTAATTACAAATTTAGTTTTTCTAATTACATGTTGCAATTTCTTATTTACATGTTGGGTTTCTCAATTACATTTTAAAATTTCCTAATTACATGTTATGCTTCTTAATTACATATTGCGACTTCTAAATTACATGTTTTATTTCTCAATTACATCTTACTTTTCTTAATTACAATTTTCAAGTTCTCAATTACATACTGAAAAGGTGTAACAATATTTGATAACAAAGAATTGGTAATGTTAATATCAATGTCATTACATTTATACTTCTATCTGGTTCAATTTTTAATACAAAAGTTAACAAAATAATTACCTTAAACTTTAATCAACTGCTAATCACTGATTACAAAAATTTTTGTAATAACTATTATAATAAAAAACTAATACTGTTGAGAAAAAAAAAACAAGAAGCCATCTCATCATATGTTATATCCCACAATAGTGTTACATGTTAAGACAACTAGGTTTTCTTATAGTTTCCTTTAAATAAAATTCATTATGTAAAAGATTATTAAATGTTAAGAAAAAAAATGCAAAAAAAAATGTCTTGAATAAGAGGATGAGTAAAAATGTTACATTTTATTACATAAAATATTATGTCTCGGTTACATAAAAATAACAGACATAAAAGTAACCAAACCATAACATATGTTATGTCTCATTACATAATGTTGTTATAAGAGCAGGGCCGACGCCACCAGGGACATTGTTAAAAAAAAAGTGGGGGGCCAGTGCTGGACAATTGTGCCCCTACACTTTGAAACCTGTGTTGCAGCTCTGAGGGGTGTGTCTTCATAATCTGTATCTAACTTTTGAAACAAGTAGTAAAGCTACTTGGGTACTAAAATTGAATCTGTATATAGTATAGGCCAAAATACAGATTTAACATTAGAACATATTTCCAGTTCTAATGACAGTAAGAAAAAGATAAATACCACAAAAATAATAACCATTAATATGACTTGGCAACCCATGCCAGATCATAGGAGTACCAAATTGTGCAGGGTAGCAAGTATTTAACTAATTGCCAAAACACAGAGAACAGTCAGGGCAGCAATATTGTGATGTCCAAGTACAACATCAAGCTTTCACAGGAAGGTGTGCGATCACACGCCAATATATGATCAGGCAAATAATATTTTGCTTAAACCATTTGACAACGGCCATTTCAAAAAACATTTCAAAATGCGTAATTACTTACTAGCATGTATTTTTATGGAAACATATTTTTAAATCAGTAAAAAAAAACTATAATTTAAATTAAGTATGAGTATTTTATAAACAATCACTAGAAGTAAATAGTTTCTTTATTTTAAGGGTTTCCCGTAATATTATATAAACATTATTAAAGATAAAAGATTCAAAGTTTATTATTCCAAACATAATTAAAAACATGATTTAAATAAACTTAGTGTTTTAGTTTGTTGAGTTTTATTTTATTTAAGTTATTATTTTATATATTTTATATATATATATATATATATTTTATATATATAAGTTATATATTTTTTTGTGTGTAAGTTTTAGCTTTTGTTAAGTTCTTTTTATTTTCTCTTAAAAATTTCTGTTAAAATTTCTTTTCTTTTTTAAAGTAAAGTTTTTTTTTAAGATAAGTCTAAATAAGTTTTTTGGTCATTTTTATTCCTTATAAACATGTTAAAAGCAGTGGTCAAATTGCCAAAACAAAATATTATTTGCCTGGTCATATAATGGTATACAATCGCAAGCCTACCTGTGAAAGCCTGAACATCCACTTTCGAATCAAAATAAGTAGCATACAGTTTTCAAATACATTTATTAATTTGTATGTTTGTTTTTTTTTCTATATTTGTTAGAAATATATCAAAAGTTGCTTCTGTCATTCTTATATAGTTGCACAAAGACAAAGTTGATATTTCAAGACAAACATTAACAAGTAAAGCAGAGTAATAAGAAAGCAGACAGATATCATAAATACATTAAAAGACTGACACCAAAAAACTAAAATAATAAATCAAAGCAATTTCAGAAAAAGAAAACTGAGGTTGTAATTACTTTTTTATGTTTTTTTTTCATGTTTTTTCTTTAAAAAAAAAACCCTCAAATTTTCAAAAAAGTTTTAAAGACTCAGTGAATATTGCTAATGACTTTTTATAATAAAGTAAATACTAAATAAGAATGAAATATTAAAACACTATAAATTTGCTAATGTCAAATGGTTGTTGCTCAAATAATGTTGTACATATAGTGTCAATCAAACAAAGTTCTATAAATAACTGTCAATCAAATAATGTTCTACAAATAGCTGTCAATCATAAAATTTTTCTTCAAGTAGTTTTTAAACAAATAAAAAGATGTTATACAAATAGCTGTCAATCAAATGTTCTACAAATGGATGTCAATCAAATAAAACAATGTTGTACAAATGCTGTCAATCAAATAATGTTCAACAATAGTTGTCAATCAAACAATGTTCTCCAAATAGCTGTCAATCAAACCAAACAATGTTGTACAAATAGTTATTTCTAGTTTAATTCATCAGTTTATGAAAAAGTTTGAAAATAAATTTACCTTGTCAATTAGTCTCCTAGAAAGTTCAGCTATATCTTTTGTAAATAATGCACCTAAAAACAATAATTTAAGAGGAATTAGTAAAAATTAATATTATGAAACAAATGGATGAAAAAATTCACTTAGAATTCTTTAACACTTTAAGCAAACCAAAGATCATACTTTTAATTACAAACATTTTTTAATACTAATACATTTTTGCATTAAAATAAAGACTTTTACATTAAAATAAAGACTTTAGTTAAAAGTTTTTAGGCATAAAAAATAAACTTGAAAGAATTGAAACCTATAATGCTAAGATAAGGGCTTTGTTTAAATAATAGAAAAGATCCTGATTTGATCTTACTCTCAATAAAATGTCTCATACCACAATTTTTCATACACAATATTCTATCAAGGTGTAAATTGGCACTATTGACTTCAAAATATGAAAATAACTGAAAACTAATTTTTGTTAAAGTTTTAATCTGATGATGCAAATTTATATTCGAGTTGACATCAATAAATTAAGAACAAACAAACCACTATTTTTGCTATTTTATATGTTTTTCTAAGCAAAATAGAATAAGTTACCAGGTTCAATAAACAAATTTCTTCAAAAATTAATTTAAAATTAAAACTGAGTTTCATAAAGCTGCACTAAAATACTCTATACTAATAATTATAACAGTAAAAAAAACTATGGCACCACATTTTTTACTAATGTTTTGATTTGATTTATTTTATAATGTTAAAGTAAGATGGTTTTCTTTTTTTAATTTCTTTTTGTCTTTTTTTATTTCTAACTTTTTGTTTACAACTTAATAATTATAATTTTTACTATTAATTTGTTTTAAATTTCTTATTGATTTTATTTTCTGATCAAATGGAAAAACTTATTTCAAACACATGAATTTAAAAATTGTTTTAGATCCTAAAACAAAATTTATTAATGTAACTGTAAATAAAAATTGATGATTTTTTATTTACAAAGATGAAAACTTTTTGAATGATAAACCAGGGGATAAAATTTTTGATATGTGAAGTAAAATAAAAAATTACTTGTTACAACAAAAAGGTGGTTACAGTACGATAAAAAGATTTTAATCTTTCAGATTTTATTAAACATGATTATTTACCATTCTGGTTGGTTTAGAAACCAACCAGAAATTTTATTTTGTTTAAATTGTTTTTAAAGTCTATTTTAACTGGAAAGTTTTCAAAATTATTGAATCATTCTTTTATAATCACAGTATTATAAAAGAATGAAGTATTCTGTCAACCATTTTCTTGCTTTTTAACTCCTTTCTCTACTTCCTAGTAACTTTGAACTTAAATAATAGTTGCCTGTAGCTTTTTTGTAAGGAAACTCGTTTAAAAAAAAGTTTTAAAGAGATTTAAAAATCACATACTGAAGATCACAAAACAAGCATTGAAAATTATATAGAGAGCAATAAATAGTGCAGGCTGAATGAACTGACTAAAAAAACTTTTATAAATATATAGTTATACTACTACGAATATTTCTAAATTATAAAACTGATGTTTTAATGCCTGACTCACAAAACTATCTTTTAGATTAAAAAACTTTTAAAAGTTTAGCTTTACCACAAGCTGACAACAGCAAGATCATGTGAAACAGTGAGATCACAGAAACTGCTCATTGAATACTAAAACTGGGAAACAAACAAACTGTGAAAATCTATTTTATTTTAAAAAAAAGCTTTGTTTGCACTAGTTGTGGTTGAAATGCTGCATAAGCTTAAACATGCAATTTGTAAATTAGGTCACCCTCTTACTATTTTAGGTCACCCTTTCACTATTTTAGGTCACCCTTTCACTATTTTGCAACAACTAGTTGTGCTTGAAAACAATTTTGTGAACATTATCTAGCATAAACTAGAATTTTATCTCACAATATAACTTAAACGTGTAGGCAAAAAACATGCTCAGGTTATAGGCTTTAAATATTTTTTAATATGAATTTAAAATTGATAAAAAGTAAAATGTAGTCTTAAAAATTAACTAAAATATTATTTTAGTCAATTTTTAAAGAGTAAAATTTTAAAAAGATATATGTGAAGATGTCATAAAACTATATGACTTTGTAATAAGATGGTTCTTAAAACAAATTTGTCAAGAAATATCTGCTCTTCTTCCTAAATTTGCTTTGTATAATGAAACACCATCAATTTTATAATAAAAATAATTTTAGATCAAGACCATTAAACATCAGATGGGTCCTAATTCTATCAAAAATGAATATATTTTTTTACATGTATGTCAAAAAAATCAAAAACAATATCTCCCAAAAAACGATTTAAAAACCATATCAATAATAATTTTTTAGATTTATGTTTAAAAGCCATGGTAAAATAATAACCTTTATATAAAATTTTAGAGGAAGGAGAGATATTTCTTTAAAATATCATTTTAAGAGCCACTCTACCTTGTTACTAGAAGTCTGAAACGCCCTGTGAAACCAGCATTATCATAATTTTTGAATAACTTTTTGATCAAATTCTATCAATTCAAATCTATCATAAAGTATAAAACATTTGTTATCTTTTTACAATAATTTAATAAAATTGCAACAATATTATATAACAATATGCAAATTATATTTTGGTTTAGCTTTTACGATCTTATATTTATAAAATAACATGGTAAAATAACATGGTAAAATGCTAAAAATAAATTTTATGTGCACTAAAATGCTAAAAATTAAATTTCATGTGCACTTTTTTGACACATATTTATTACTATATTACATGAATGTAAATTACTATACTGGTTTTTACCTGGATTCATTTTTTAAAGTTTGCAAAAAAACTCTTCCTCTTTTTAGAAACTTTGGTTTCTAAAAAAAAATATTTTTTTTTTGCATTATACATAAAGTATTACAAAATTAAAAAAAAAAATGCATACCTGCCTGTGTGTGTGTGTGTGTGTGTGTGTGTGTGTGTGTGTGTGTGTGTGTGTGTGTGTGTGTGTGTGTGTGTGTGTGTGTGTGTGTGTGTGTGGTGTGTGTGTGTATATTATAATAAAAGAGAAATCAGTGTTCATTTGAACAAATATAAAGAGCAATTATAAATTAGTAATAATTAGTAAGTTATATAGCTAAAACAACATAAACAATATCAGTAAAGTTAATGCTACTTAAAAGTAAATACCTTGAAAAAATGCTTAATATCAAAATTTCTCATATTTCTTTTGCATCCAACTATAATAATTAAATTTATTTATTTTGTAAAGAAAAAAGTTTATTTTGATATGTAATTTATATAGAGATTCCTCAAATAATTTTGTGAATTCTGTTAAAATTTGAATAGTTTTAAAATAACAATATTAATTTAAGTACTTTTAGCGGAAATTTGCTTTTGGTAAAGATTGGCATATTAAATGAAATGTTGCATATCTGAAACCTAATTTTCAAGGTTAGTGCAAGACCATTTGGTGTTTTCTATTTTAAAAAGTATTTAAATACATATTAAATATTGAAATCATTTTTAAAAAAACTTTTTAGAATACTTGCACTAATTTATCGTAAGTATTTGTAAGTACATACTAATTTTTACTGATATTTATTATGTAAGTAACCTTGGTAATCTGCTAATGCTGCAAAGTTGTTAAAAATCCGCGGAATTTTATTTATTTTTATCAAAATAAAAAATGAACGTCATTTGTACAACGTTTGTTGTTTATAAAAGAGCTAAGTTATTTAAATGCTTTTTCGATGATTGGTCTAAATGAAAATCAACATTCTTTTCAAATAATAATTTTTTTTCATCAAAATGTATTTATAAAACACACGATACGAAAGCGAAATATGTAAAGAAAAGTCCTACTCAAATATATAAATAAAAGTACGTTTAAGATTACCCATATATTCTTTGACGGGTCACAGGTGTACAGGCTGCCAGTAATTTTTTTGTTTTTTTGTTTGTAAAAATATATTTTTTTCAAATTAAAAATATTTTAAATTAAATTAACTTAAAACAATAAACTCTATAACTTTAGAATAAGAGATATTGGATTTGAAAAAAATGTTATCCAATTCTATAATAAGCTTTCATACATATATTTAATAAACCAATTAAACTATTGTTGTTTGAGAGTCAAAAGAAGTTGATTTTATAACAAGGTAGAATACAATTCGTTTTATCCATTTAGATTTTTATGACGCATAATATAACATATCTACAACAAAAATCCTTTCAATGAAGAATGCTGTACACTAAATCCCGTAAAGTGTATGCAAGGTCTTGAATAAAAGCTAATCAATCAAATAAAGGCTAATCTGACCCTAAAAAGCATTTTAACATATGTTTTAAAGTAGACATTAAGTATGCAAACTTTATAGCGCTAATAAATAGTACATTAAAAATATAAAATTTTAAAAAATAGTGAAAAAGTTTCATGGAAATATCAAAGTAAAACGAGTTTTTAAGAAATCGCTAATCTTAAAATAATTTCTTTAAAAGAATTAAGAAACCTGAAGAGAAAATTTTTGAGACCAACCTGTTAAAAAGTAATTAAAAATAACTACGGATTTTAAATATGTTTAAAGTACTTAAAAGTAAACACTTAAATATGTTTAAAGTACTTAAAAGTAAACACAACAAGTAAGTACGGATGTTAGGCGGAAAACTCTACAAATTTTTAACTTAATTCATTAATTTGAAAATTTATCCATTTATCCACGGTTAAATACTTAATGTATAAAAGATTTTATTTTTAGAGTTACCTTTTTTTAAAATGCTAAAATAAAATTTAATTGATATTAACTAATAAAAAGAGTGTATCAAATTTTGAATGATCCTTCAGATCATTCAAAATTTGATTAACTCGCAAAAATGATTAACTCGCAAATAATGCATCATTAACAATACTGTCTCCTAAATATACAGTGGCGTCACAAGAGGTGCAGTGGGTGTGGTCTGCACTGGGTGGCACCATCACGACCTGACAAAGAGAGGTGACACCAAATGAAAAAAAACGCAAGTATCACAGAAGATCTGCTCCTTTTTTTTGTAAATGACCTTTTTTTTTATTTTTCCTTTTTTTTAGAAGTTTTTAGATATAGAGATCATTTTTTTAGAAATTGACGATTGTACCCACAAACCCGTGTGTCTAGAAGGGTGACACTAAAAATTTACCGCACTGGGTGACACTAATCCCAGAGACGCCACTGTGAATATAGAAAAATAAACTTTATGTTATCATGTTGCTAATGTTTTATTGTTACTAATTAATGTTACTTAAGGATTTTTTGGTATTCTTGGATATAAAAAAACAACTATTAATTTATAATACATAAATTTATATATTATTATAATAAATTGTAATAATGAATAACACTATTAAATTAATGTCAGTCAGACAGCATTAATGAAAAAGTTTTTAAGTTTTTAAAGAGTTGGTTGGCAAAATTTTTAATTTGCCACAAAAAATACAACTCTTTATGATAAGGGGTCTCGATCTCCTCGATGGTTTTTTTTTTTTTTTTTTTTTTTTTTTTTTTTTTTTTAATCAACCAACTGTTCCGTAAAAAGCTGGTGATCTTTTGAAAAATGAGCTTTTTTTTCTTTTGTGTAACGTTTAAAAAAAGTTTTGCTTTTTGCATAAAATTCAAAATACGTCTTTTTAAAAAATCGTACACATTCTTAAAAAGTTATCGATACGTTGTTTATAATACACTATTTAAAGTTTTTTTTTACTAATAATAGACAAAAAGTTCTGTTATTTTTGTATTTTACTCTATTTTTTTTTTTTTTTTTTTACGGAATAAAAAAAAATTTCAAAATGTGAAACAAACCATTACCTAAGTTTTACTTCGCATAATTGAAGCTGGAAAAAAATTGGCTGAAATAAGTAAGATTAAGAATAATTTCAAGCTATTTCACAGGTAAACTGCGCTGTTAAACAAAACACACGACTTTAATTGAAGTTCTCAATACTCGCTGTTGTGTTATTTATTAATTAAAATTTTATTAAACTAAAACATAAAGAAATTCAATAATAAATGTGCATCAATAAAGCTTCAAAAAGAATTTATACACATAAAAATAAATTTAAAAAAAATTAAAGTCAAGTAATATGGTATTAAAAAAGTTGTGTAGGCGCAAAAAAGCTTTTTTATTTTTTCATTGATTTCATCTGTCACCATTTGCCCACTTCACGCAAGAGCGTGCCTTTTACAATTTTTTAGTGAACCTCTAAAAATTTATATTAGTATTATGGAATTAAAACTGGAAATCAGTTTTAAAACTATGTTTTTATTGTGTTTTTAAAGTTTCTGATAAATTTAAATCTAGTTATGTAGAATTTAAGTTTAATTTAAAAATCAAAAATGTTTTAAAATTAGTTTTACTGTATGTTCAATTATTAGTGTCAATTAAAAGCTGATCAACTTTTTATAAACAGATGGCAAATTTAAATCCATATAATATAATGAAATAACTAATAAAGTAAGCTAAATAACGAATTAAAAGTAAGTACTTCAAAAGTAAAACTCTATAATACAACATTTTCGATGTTTACTTTTAAACAACTTTTTATAACATTAAACTTGAAAATCGTAAGTCTTTAATAGTAAGCCTTTAATTGTAACAACAACAAAAAAGTTTATTTAAGCACGTTTTAAATTTTACGTGAGAAGGATATATATAGTGTAGAAATTTCTTCACAGAAAGATTTTTATTCATTTACTTTACTTTTTTTATTTACTTTTTAATTTTTATCTGTGTGTATGTGTGAGAGGAAAAAAAAGGGGGGGGTAATTGTTTAGATCTACTTCAACTTATATGACTTTTTTTTACAAATTTTACGCTAAAAACTATTTTTGAAACCCAATAAACACTCTATTGTCGCTGCTATTGTCAAACAACTATAACTTACCTACCTGAAACTTTTAACAACATCAGCTATCAACAATATAACGTTTTTATGTAAAAATTTGTAAAAAACAAACTAACTTCTGCCTGTCTGTTGAGTGTTTTTTTTTTTTTTTAATTTTTTTTATAATTAAAAATCAAAATAGTCGGGTTTTTTTTTTATACGATCATTCATGCGCACCACAGGAACTTTTGAAGTTTAAGATATGACATTTTCAGGCATTGAGTAGTCTTAAGTAAGTTCATGCATATGTTAAATGAAAATATTTTGCATAAAATTGTATTAAATGGAGCCTCGGAACAAAAAAATTAAAAAAAAAACACATCCTAAAAGTAAGGGTTAATAAAATCTTGAACAAAACCCCATCAACAAAATATACTTTTTTACTAAACTTTTTTAATTTTTTTACATTTTTTTAAATAATATCTTAGTGTTTGAAGGTTATGCTGGCTTGAAATTTTAAGCTTCCTCATTGGGATTAAAAAAAAAAAGAGTTAAAACTCAAGTTGGAAGTTATTCTCTCTTTTAGATAAAGTTAATTAAAATATATAAAATATGTATAAATTCTATTGAAACAAGATTAACGCACACATGCAATGTAACAGAAAAAAAGAGAAAAATGGATCAAGAAACTAAATAATGAAAAAAAAAAAAAATGAAAAAAATGGATGAAGAAACTGAACAATGATTAAAAAAATTCTGATAAAAAGATTAAATTTTATTTTTAATTAAATGATGAAAAATGTTATATCAAATTTTTAGTTTGATGATAAAGACACGAAAATTCCCTGCGACACCTTAGAGAAAGCTTGAATAAAAAGGAAAAACAATGAAGGTTGCAACAAAGAGAAATTAAAGTAACCAAAAAATATTCTAGTCCATCTTTATAACTTCGTTTCTAAAAAAAAAAAGCTTATTTAACATTTGTAGAAAAAAAGAAAACTTTTACAAGGTAAACCTTTAGTAGGCTTACCTAAGTAACTACGAAAAGAACAACTTTTTTTTACTAAAAAAACATTTATATACATTTTTAGAATATTAAACCTTTAGCATAAAAGAGCCTCATTTTAGCTTTTTTTTTCTTTTTTTTCTATATCTAAATTGGTTAAACAGACTAAGATAACAAAAGGTATAAGAGTTTATCCAAATTCAAGCCACTATCACCAAATTTCATTCAGGCGTATTTAACATGAACATAATAGTAGTATGAAAAAACATTACCAGCAATTATTCTTTTAGGATGTCAATAATATTTCAAAACTAGTAGAATGCCCAGACATTAAATCAATAGAGTGTTATAACTCTATAAACTATCCGTCTGGCAGCTTCATTGTAAACAATAATTAAAACAGTTTTAAACTTGAACTTTTATCTGTACTTGATTTAAAAAACAATACCCAAAAAAAAAAAGCATAAAGTATAAATAACAAAATTGTAATATTGAATGTAAAAAATATTACTTCATATATTCATATTAAAAGTATAAAAATTCACTTTTTTTAAATTTTCTGTTTTTATATCATCAGCTTCTTCTGAATAATATAAGTTAATGAAAGAAAAACATGCAGCTTAATTAAATTCTAGAACAGAAACTAACCATGTAAAACCAAG